TCAATATGTCTGCTCTTCTTTAGTGAGCCCACTTGACAAGTTTTATTGTCCTTGGGTCTGGCTCCCATTCCCTCTCCAAGGGGTGCAGCTGTCTGGGGATGCTGCCCTCCACCCCTTCCTCATTCACACCTTGTTCATTCAACGGGGCAGTTGATTAAAAGGGGGGGAAGAGCTTGTTCTACTCCGAGCAAAAAGACATTTTTCTTCTACTTTAACTATCCTTAGGGGCTATAACATTATACCAAGGCTCAATACAAAGTTTTCTATATAAGGATCTGATACAAAGTTGTATGACAAAGTCATATGAAAGTTATATGAAGATGCTTAATGCAGAGATTTATCCACACTAAAACTGCAAAGGCACATTGAGCTATACACACAAACATACACACACACAAAGCCTTGCACACCAAGAGCCATACATCCCCACATACATGCCCATAAAAACTCATCCACAAATAGCCAAACACTCATCCCCACCTGCATACACACCCTATGCAGTCTTACACATACACACCCAATCTCAATAGCCACACAGAGCGATACATACACATAAACACCCAGACCCTTCCCCCAACACTTTTTTTGTATGCAAGTCCCCCTTGTGAATGGGATGGTGATTCTGGGTGACTCACAAAGTGATAAATAGGAAAATTATTTAGGTCACTAAAGAGGAAATGTAGGCTGAATTCTGGGGATAAGGGGGGAGATTTAGGGCAAAATGGTTTGTTACAGGCAAAGCATTAGGATTAGCACAGTGGAGGTAACTCGGAAGATTTATGGTGAGATGCAGATGCAACAACTGGTCGGGGTAACAGCGGTGAAACATAGGGGACTAGAAATATAACGTAGGGTAATGCACCCTACATCTTCTCTAGTCACTCATGTTCCTCTCTGTGAATCACAAGTATATCTGGAGGGAAACTTTAGGGTGTAACACAGGTGACTGGGTGGGGGGAGATTTAAACTGCAACATGTGGAGACCAGAGGGGAAGATTTAGGGTGTAACACATGGGTCTGGTAGGAAGATTTAGGTTGTAACACACCAGGATAATTACAGGTCAGAGACTTCAGGTGTGGGGAAAGGGAGGCAGGCACTTCTGGGGACTTTGCACCCAGTGAGCAAGAATCCAGCAGATGTGACCCAGCCCCAACCCAGCCTTTATTTTGGCCACCTCTCCACCCCAGCCACAGGCCATCATTGATGCAGGTTTCAGTTTCCTGCACAAACAGAACAGCCAGAGCGGCACTGATGCGTCGGAGAGCAAGATGCAGTGCAGGAGAGGTGCCAATGCACAGTACTGCCAGGCCTCCCGCTCCGTCCAAGCCCTCTATCCCTTGGGGAGAAGGGTTGTGTTCTCAGCCTCTCTCCTGTGCTGGACGATGGGGCAAGGTTCGCATGCAAACAGCTCTGCACTTTTCCCTAGTGTGCCTCTGTGCCAGTGTGTTTAGATGAGGGAGCATCATGTGTGTGCGTGCATGCACACATGTACACACAATGCACATATGGCTGATATATCTGCAGGGCGTGCATGTGGGTGAGTCCATATCTGTGCCGCATGCATGAATAGTGTGGGGAGAGAGGGGTGTAGGCATGAACTGCCTCATTCATCTACATGTTGCTTAAATGGCAGGCTGATGAAGTCCTTAGCAGATGCAGCATCCTCTGTGCTGACCCTTTCTCCATGGGCCTGAAGTTATTCAGGGATTCACATGGCACATGATGGACGCCTGTGCTCTGAACACTTACTGTTGTTTAAATTACTTTTAAGGATTCACTGCACTTTGCCCAACACTGCCACCCTGGGAGTTGCCTTGCTCCTACTTATAAGCCATGGCCTGGTGTATCCAGGGATTTGTAATTGTAGACTTTGGTGTACACTGTTGGGTGCCTGCTGGCACTGGCCACTGGGTCTGTGGGCCCCCCGCAGCTTCTGGAGGTATGTAACTGGAACAAACATGGCACTGTGAAGTGATGCAGTGACTCTGTGTCTGTGACTCAAACGGGGATGCCTCCTGGGGTATGCACAGGAATTTCTGTCTCAAATTGGGACAAAAAGTCTAAATCTACATTTTTCATGGAACAAAGTATTCTGAAATATTCCAGTTTGGAAACATGAAAAGGACCCTGTTGAAAGTAAAGGGTAAAATGTTTCATTTCAATAGGGTTGAAAGGGTTTGTTTAGCTAACGTTAAAACATTCACTCCCTGGCATGATCCCTCTCTCACTCACCCCTTGACTGTGCCTCACTGATTGCACTTGTACAGCACCCAGCACAAAGAGCTGTCCACCTAGGTGGGATCTGTAGGTGCTTCTGCACTACAAACTAATAACAACAGTGCCCTGTACATTAAAGCATCTGACTAGGACTAGCTGCATGAGCGCAGTACACTCTGCATTGAATGGCAATTTACAAGCCTCATTCCATACCGATGCAGAAAGAAACACACTTTGCTCTGTAAGTCACAAGAGATGGTGAATTCTCTGCATAGTGGGTGGGTTTGTGCCCATGTCCCATTGGTGTTTATTTTCCCCATGTAGGAGGAGGGTGGTTCAGGTCAGCCGTTTGGAGATGCATTTAACAATGTTTAATATGCTAACAATTAAATGAAAGAGACGGTGGCCCAATAATCCCGATAATACCACCACCACCAGGGTCACTCACTGGAAAATCAAACACTGATTAGAGCTTGTTCTGCCTACTGGTGTTAGTTACTTTCCCTTGTCAGAGCAAAGAAAACGACTACACATCCAATGTGCTCTCAGAGCCAGGCGGCACCAGGGTTGGGGTTCAGTCCTGGGGTCTGAGGAGAGTGAACAATGACCACTGGCCATTCAAGATTGTGGGCTTGCTAGAAATGCAGAGTTACAATCATACTAGGACATGAACTACCCCATGGTTCTAGCAACAGAGGGGCAGAGGGAGAGTTGTATCTGCAGTTGCCTGCTCAGCACAAGGAAAGTCACCCCAGTGCAAGCAGGCAGCTCAGAGCAGATGTACCTTTCAGGCCTGTATAGCTAGGTCCTTCTATGGTCCCAATCATCTCTCAGGGCTTTTCTACACGACAGGTTAGATCAGTATAACTTATATCACTCAGGGATGGGAATAAGCCACCCCCCGAGCAACATAAGTTACACTGACCTAAGCGCCGGTGTGGACAGCGTTATGACATAGCTACCGCCTCTTGTGGAGGTGGTTTTATTATGCCGACGGGAGAACTCTCTCCCGTCAGTGCAGCTGCACCACTGTAGTGCTTCTAGTGTAGACTAGCCTTCAGTCTCACCCCCAGGGGGAAGCAGGTAACACTGTCCCTCTTAGAAGATGGGGACCAAAGCTCAGAAAGATTCAGTGACTCAGCTGAGATCACGCAGTGAGTCTGTGGCAGAACCAGGATCAAACCCAGGAGTGGGGCTGGGCAGAAAACTGGTTCCCACCCAGCTCAGGAGAATTTTCAACATTCAAATTTTCTCTCCCATCTCAGATTGGGATGAAAAGTCAAAATTTTAAACATTTCTGTGAATCAAAAATCGGAAATAATTTTTGGTTTAGGTCAAAGTGTGACTGTAAATGGCTCTGTTTACTTACAAACCTTCAGGAGTAAGTGCCAGCCAGCCCTGGAAGAATGGAGACTAGGGGTCTCACGGGACATGTAACTATGTCACCTGGTACTGGAATCCATCTTAAACCTGGTGCTTTTCCATTTAGAAGGAGGGGTGGGGACCCAGAGAGACAAAAGATTCCTGCCTTGTGCCAAAGCCATAAAAGGGGCTGGAACAGAACAAAGGAGTCTGCCAGTCATGAGAAATCCCCTAGTTACCATCTGAGCTGGAACTATCAAGGACTGTACCAGGGAAAGGATTGGGCTCAGACTAGGAAGGAGTCTAGTCTGTGAAAGAAACTTATTGGCACATCTCTGAGGGTGAGATTTACCTGTATTCAGTTTCTTAATGTATTAGGCCTAGACTTGCAGGTTTTGTTTTATTTTGCTTGGTAACTTACTTTGTTCTGTCTGTTATTACTTGAAACCACTTAAATCCTACTTTTTATACTTAATAAAATCACTTTTGTTTATTAATTAACCCAGAGTAAGTGATTAATATCTGGGGGAGCAAACAACTGTGCATCTCTCTCTATCAGTGTTATAGAGGGCGAACAATTTATGAGTTTACCCACCGTGTATAAGCTTCATACAGAGTAAAATGGATTTGTTTGGGGTTTGGATCCTATTGGGAACTGGGTGTCTGGGTGCTGGAGACAGGTGTACTTGCTGAACTGTTTTCAGTTAAGTCTGCAGCTTCGGGGACGTGGTTCAGACCCTGGGTCTGTGTTGCAGCAGGCTAGCGTGTCTGGCTCAACAAGGCAGGGTTCTGGAGTTCCAAGCTGGCAGGGAAGACGGGCTCAGAGGTAGTTTCAGCACATCAGGTGACAGTCCCAAGGGGTTCTCTGTAATTGAACCCGTCACAGTGAGTGTTCCATCAAACCCGACACTGTTTCACAAACAGTTTCTGTTTTGATCAATTGGCATTTTCCAACAACAACAAAAGTTGAATTGGAAAATTCCTGACCAGCTCTACCGAGGAGCACTGAGTCCCAGTCCAGCACATTAATAAAAAAGCCCTGCATTTCCTCACCATTCATTCCCATGGAAGCCCCCTATTCGGAGGCCTTACGTGGGCTGCTAAGCCTTGGGCTGTGGATTTGACATGCCCAATGCCTATTTATCACTTCCAGCCCATGTTAAAGGTTGAGTTGCACTGGGCGAATTTCACCCAAATGGCATAGGAAGCAGGTCGTGCCCTGAACTATTTTTAGCCCCAGTTCCCTCCTCCGCAGCAAACCCCTCCCCAAGGGAACGCAGCAGGTGGAGCAGACAGTTATTTACCTGGGGAGACAGATGTGGTTTTGTTTCTAAATTCAGTCCCTAATCACTGACAGCTGTTGGATCATGTGGACAGTTCATCTTGTATAAACCCACCCCATTCTTGTGCCCAGCTCAGCCTGGCACCATGGAGATCGTCTTGTTCGCTCTTCTGCTGAGCGCCACAGGTAACTGCTCTCCGCACTGGCCTCTCCTTTCTCCTTGTTCTAACTCCCCCAGGCTAATCCCCATCCATCCCATTTGCCTTGCAGCAGCCTCACAGCTGGAGGATGATGATAAGATAATAGGTGGATATGAGTGCTCGCCCCACTCCCAGCCCTGGCAGGTCTATTTCACATATGGCTCAAACCAACGCTGGTGCGGGGGGTCACTCATCAATGAGTGGTGGATCGTCTCAGCAGCTCATTGCTACAAAACGTGAGTAGACGGGTGCAGTTTGGGAGGATTCATCCCTGTCCTAGCACAAGGCACAGGCCCCTTTGGGTAGGAAGAAAGTCTTCAGTGGGACCCAGGCCTTGTGGGTGTTATGTGGGGGCCTTAAGTCTTCCCATGGTCCCAAGCAACTGAACCATGGGAAACACTGTGATGCAGTTGCCAAAAAGGCTAATATAATTCAAGGGTGTATTAGCAGGAGTGTTGCATGTCAGACAAAGGAGGTCATGGGCCATTTGACTTGGAACCGGGGAGGCCTCAGCTGATGTGGTGGGTCCAAAGCTGGGCGCCGCACTTTAGCAAAGATGTGGACAAGCTGGAGAGAGTCCAGAGGACAGCAACAAAAATGATCAAAGGTTTAGAAAACCTGACTTCTGAGGAGAGGCTAAAACAACTGTTATAAAGAAGCCAGGGATCAGTTCTCCCTGTCCACTGAAGGTAGGACAAGCAGCAATGGGTGTAATCAGCAGCAAGGCAGATTTATCTTAGATATTATGAAAACCTTCTAACTCTCGGGGTAGTTAGGCACCAGAACAGGCTCCAAGGGAGGGTGTGGAGTCCCCATCAATGGAAGGTTGAAGAACGGGCTGAACAAACACAAATCAGGGCTGATTTAGGGTTACTTGGTCTTGCCTCAGTGCAGGAGGCTGAATGTGATGACTTCTCGAGGTCCCTGCATTTCTATGACTCGGTGGCTGTTCCCTGCAGGCCCAGGACCCTGGTGGCTCATCTCGGGGAGCATGACACCAGTGCAGACGAGGGCACTGAGCAGCATATCCAAGTGGCCAAAGCCATCCAGTTCCCCCAGTACAACCAATACACCCTGAATAATGACATCATGCTGGTGAAGCTAGCCCAGCCGGCCCGGTTTGGTGCCTACGTGCAGCCAATCCCCATCTCCAGCAGCTGCCCTGTGCCAGGGACGGAGTGCCTGGTCTCTGGCTGGGGGAACCTCCTCACATCTGACGGTAAGATACAGTGGAGACAACTTCAGCTCAGGGAGCATCTGCAAGGGGGAGGGGGTCATCAGCAATAATCCTGACTTACACCAACTCCAATGGGGTTACTCCTGATTTACACCGGCCTGGGTGATGGGGAATCAGGCCCCATCTGACGGGTGCTTCCCTGCCATTGAATAGTCTGTGGCATTAGATTCCCATTTATCCCCATTCTCTCTCCTCCCCAGTTCAGTACCCGGATGCCCTACAGTGTCTGAATGTGCCCATCCTCTCTGACTCTGCCTGCCGTGCCGCCTACCCTGGTCGCATCACCACGAACATGTTCTGTGCTGGCTACATAGAAGGGGGCAAGGACTCTTGTCAGGTATGGAGGGAGCGGCTGGTTAGGTTTGTGGTGTGTGAGGAGGTTGCCTTTCATTCAGCTGCCCTGGGGTTCAAAGCGAATGCTGTTTCCTCACTACAGGGCAAGCAATCACCGTGCTTGGGTTTTGCAAGTACAAGGACAATGAGCTCTAGACATGTGTCCTGGGGATGTCAGGATTGGGTGATCATGATGTCATTGGCATCATTATAGGGTGCACTTGCACGTTTCTGGGATATTTCCTCTCAGTGGAGCCAGGTGTCTGTGTGTGTGCGCGCACGCGAGTGATAGGGTGTTCATGTGTGCAGAGGCATATGGGCGGGTTTGTGCAGAGAGGTGTGTATGTCAAGGGGTTTGTACACATTACTATTTAAAGAAGGTGGTGTGTGTAAGTGTGCGTGCACAGGGGTGTCTGTGTGCTAGTATACATGTGTGTATTACTAGTGCCTGAGAGCGGGTTCAGGCCCCGGTGAAAAAAAATTTTCGGGTCCCCCAGCAAGGGCGGACCGGCTAAACAGGGCCGACGAGGGGGAGGGAACCAGGGAAGCCGGGCCCCGGTAATTTGTACCGGCTTCCCCCCCCACCCCATCTCATTGGCCCTGTGCACAGGGATATGTATGTGCATGAATATGCATAGGAGGTTATGTCCGTTCCAAGGAGGACACCTTACCCCAGCTTGCAGCTCTGCAGAGAGAGGTCACGCTCACTTGCTAGACAATAAATCCACACCAACAGTAATGTCTGACCTACAGTTTCTAGGCAAAGCCCTAAAACTCTGCTCTAGCCCAGGGCCTAGGCACCAAAGAACTCTGACTAACCCCCAATGTACACGGCCCCTGGGGTGTGCACTGGCCCCTGTGCCTCGGGCAAGTTGATTCAGTCTCCTTCGACTCTGTCGGTTCCTGTGATGTGGTCTGGCACTTCCCACCCTAGCACTTGGCTGGTGCTGGGATGTCCCAGCGAGGGCATGTGTGAAGGAGAAGGATGGGGGGCCTGCGATGGGCAGGTCTTCCCACTGTTACCAACATCACCTGGACCTCGGCTGACTGACAGCCACGTCCAGCCCTAAGCGGTGACTCCTAGTCGCTTGCGCATAGTTCTCTTGCCAGATTCTAATGCAGGGGTGGGCAAAATTTTTGGCCCGAGGGCCACATTGAGGTTGCAAAACTGTATGGAGGGCGTGTAGGGAAGGCTGTGCCTCCCCAAACAGCTTGGCCCCTGCCCCCATCCACCCCCTCCCACTTCCCACTCCCTGACTGCCCCCAACCCAGCGAACCCCTCCTGCTCTTTGTCCCCTAACCGCCCCCTGGGACCCCACCCCTTATCCAACCCCCCTGCTTCCAGTCCCCTGACTGCCCCCCGACCTCTATCCACAGCCCCACCCCCTGACAGGCCCCCCGGGACTCCCACGCTTATCCAACTCCCCCCCCCGCCGTTCTCCATCCCCGTCCCCTGACCACCTCCACCCCTTATCCAACCCCAGCCCTGGCCCCCTTACCATGCTGCTCAGAGCAGCACGTCTGGCAGCTGCGCTGCCGGCGGGAGCCAGACACGCTGCCGCACTGCTCTCCAGGAGCATGCAATCCCGCTGCCCAGAGCGCTGCCTGCGCAGCGGCGTGGCAGGGGGACAGCGGGGAAGGGGGCCAGGGGTAGCCTCCCCGGCCGGGAGCTCAGGGGTCAGCCAGGACTGTCCCGCGGGCCTGATGTGCCCACGGGCCGTAGTTTGCCCACCTCTGTTCTAGTGCCATGAAGGGACCTGCACAACTCTTTGTTCCCTGCAGGGAGACTCCGGTGGGCCAGTGGTCTATAATGGAGAGTTGACGGGAGTGGTGTCCTGGGGCATCGGGTGTGCCCAGAAGAACCACCCTGGCGTCTATACCACAGTGTGTAACTACGTGTCCTGGATTGCGGAGGTCATTGCCAACAACTGACATGCGCAACCGCAGAGTACTTCTCCTGGCAGAGAGGCTGCGTTCAGACCGCCCCCGTCCCGCTTTGCCTGCTGCCTGGATAAAAGTGATTGAAAGCTTCTCAGTAAAACAGGGGGGCTGCCGTGATGCCAAGAACCCAGTAGGGAAGACACAAGATGCTTAGGAGAGAAGCATCAAATGCGGCTATGAAATCCCAACTCATCAATAAAACTCAGTTCCTACATCCTGCTGAATTCTTGGCATTTTTAGCCCAAATCAGCGCTTGCCTCCCACACGGGTATTGTTATAATTAGATGAATATTATGGTAGCAAGTGGATGCCTCAGGAGGCCCCTGCTGCGCTGGGTGTTGCACAGACACAGAGAGTGACACACCCAGCCAAAGCCAGGTCCCAATTCTATAGCTGGAGAATTGAGCTGCAGAGAGATTCAGTGACTTGCTCAAGGGCACACAGGAAGTCTGAGCTGCAAATTGGCAGCAGATAGCTGTAGTTCCAGCAGATGCCCATGCTGCATTAAATCATAGACTATTAGGGTTAGAAGGGACCTCAGGAGGTATCTAGTCCAATCCCCTGCTCAAAGCAGGACCAATCCCCAGACAGATTTTTGCCCCAGATCCCTAAATGGCCCCCCTCAAGGATTGAACTCACAACCCTGGGTTTAGCAGGCCAATGCTCAAACCACTGAGCTATCCCTCCCCCCAAGGTCATCGAGTCCAGCCCCCTGCCTTCACACTAGCAGGACCAAGTACTGATTTTTGCCCCAGATCCCTAAGTTGTATGGGATGAGTGGGGTGGGGTGCTGGGACTCATGGGGAACAGCCTAGGAGGCTGGCAATATAGAGCATGTCCCTAGTGTGCAAGTCACTGAGAATCTCATCCACTTCAGTAAGGCTTTTGCCTGGGTTTTGCCAGGACTCCTGGGTTCTATCCCCAGCTTGCTTGAGGAGTCACCAGCTCTTCCTCGCAGGAGAAGTGTTGTAAAAGCGTTTTACAGATATCAGTCACCACAGATGGCAACTGGGGACAGGTGCATTCAAGAGGGGAGGTGTGTGGAGGAGGGGAACCTCCCTGGTGGAGGTGTGAAGTCCCATGCCACAGAACCGCAGCAGCTGTGAAAGGTGGCCTTCCCCCAGCTACGGCTCCTGGCTGAGTGCTCCATGAGTATTCACATGCAGATTGTGAGCTCTCAGGGCAGGGACTACCTTGTTACCATACAGCAGGGGCTGGCATAGCAGGGCCTTGTCCCCAGGCTAGGGCTTCTCGGCCCTACTGCAAAGCACCTGAAAATAAATGGCTCTGCAGCCATGCAAGGCGTCCTATGAACACATGGACATCGCAGTTCCCAGTCTGCATTTCTCTCTTGTCCACATGGAGTATGGCCCAACAAGTCTAGGGGAGCCAGAGTGGCTGCACAGGTGCAGCTGAACCTGAACACATTAGTTATGCTAACCCTAACCCACAGACCCTCCCCCTACGGGAATTCCACCTTCTCCCTCTGCAATAAGACAGAATCCTCCCCCTCTCCCCACTCACGTCTCATCCACACCCTGCTTGAGTCACTCACCAGGCTCTCTGCCTCTTAGCCTGTCTCTACTGCAGCTTCCCCCCAGTCCTCTGTCCTGCTCCATCCCCTGGGGGGGTCAAAGACAGTAGCAGGGCTGTGGAGCATGGTGAGGGTCAGGGAGATTGGCTGGCATCAGAGAGGCTGGGCAGGTTGGGTTTATTCCACGGAGAAGCTCCCAGAAGATACTTACCTTGGTGCAGTCCCCTGGCACCTCCTCATTAACCCTGAGAAACCAGCCAGCTGCCACATGACCTCATCCTGGGGTGAAACAGCTGAGGGGTTACTTCCCTCTGCGCTCTCATGCACTGACCTCGGAGTCAGACTCAGTGCTCACTGCATTTGGGGGAGGGGACACTAGGGTGACCAGACAGCAAGTGTGAAAAATCAGGACAGTGGGTGGGGGGGTAATAGGAGCCTATATAAGAAAAAGACCCCAAAATCGGGACTGTCCCTATCAAATCAGGACATCTGGTCACCCTAGGGGACACCGGCCTGAGCAGCCCAGCGGGGCTGGGTTCTTCCCCCTGCTGGGTGAGAGGGAGATGGGAATGAGGCAGCCTGGCTGGGAGCAGCCAGCTATTGTGGGGGAAGCACAGGGATGAGGAAATACCCAGAGAGCATGATGCAGCTCCACACCACTCAATAAACACCCCTCAAGCATCTGCAGACCTCACATGCAACAGCTTCGACAGGCTGACCCTGCTGCCCTCACCCCCCAGCGATGCTGATGGGTCTCATGGAGCTAGAGCAGCAGGAGGGCACGCGCACTGAGGCACCCGCAGATCCAGCACCTCTGCCCCTCACGCCCAGGGGAGAGCCTGGTGAGCCTCCCCTCAACAGCAATTGGCCCCAGTTTAGTACTCAAGGGTCAGCCCCAGGATTCGGCAGGGCCACAGGCCATGGTAGCCAAGGCCCAGGGTCTCAGGTCATTGGCAGACACTTAGGGACCAGGGTTAGTAACTGGCCACCACAGTAAACAGAGGGAGCCCTTGTGCAATAGCATGTGTGGAAAAGTCTGGTGGCCTTAGCTGGGCTGATCTGGAGCTAAGCTGTGAGCCAGGCCTCTCAGAGCAAAGGCTGCTCCGCTGTTGTTTTTTTAGCCAGTGATGCAGCCCCCCCAGCCTCTGACCAACTCAGGTCAGTCTAACTTCAATACTTGGGAAGATATGTGAAGAAATGATTAGGAAATCCATTGGAAAGCCTCTAGAGAATACAGGCAGGGGGCCTGTAACCTGAGCCTTGCCACCCCTGGCTGAAGCCTGCGGTCCTCGGCTCTTGCCCTGGGCGGTGATGCTCGGGCTTTGGCTTTGGCCCAAGCAAGTCTAAGCCAGCCCTGGCGACCCCATTAAATTAGGGTCACAACCCACTTTGGGGTCCTGACCCACAGTTTGAGAACCGCTGACCTAGAGCAGTGACTTTAGCAAGCACAAAACTAGTGCAACATGTCTCATCCCCAAAATGGTACCTCCCGTAGCACAGCGCCCCCATATGCCATGCCAGGGTCCTGGGGTCAGCTCTAGCTGCAAGGGGAGTGTGCCCCCGACTCATACCCACCTTGCTCCCTGCAGTACAGCACCCCTGAGTTCTGGGTGGGGGAATGGGGTCAGCTCCATGAGGAGAGAGTGCCTCCCTATTGCGCTCCCACCACCCCCTAGCACTGAACTGGGGCATTAGTATCAGCACTGACTGTGAGAGGAGAGTTCCCCCCCTACTGAGGTCCCATCCCACTCCCTGAAGACAGCTATTAAGAGAGGTCTCCTGCCATTGTACTGCTCTTATGGTGCATATTGAGGGGTCTGGTATTAGAAGAATCAATCTGGCTAAGAATCAGAAATAAAGAGGTCAGTTGTATTTTAAGGCGTTATTAATTGCCATCAGTGGCTCATGTGAAAGCTGCATCTGCTGCAGATTAGTAATAAACTTTCCATAACAGCTCCCCTATAAATACCTGAGGGCTGGGGCTTGTTCTTTTCTGTCCAACAGCCTGGAGAGAAGTATGACAATGTGGCTCGTGATGGCGTTGCTTGCGGTGGCAGGTAATTATGTTGTATGCAGCCAGGCTAGCTTGTGGAGCTCGGTAGTGACGAGGGGCCGGGACATAGCTGCAAAATCAGAGTGAAATTAAACAGGCTCCAGCTAAGCCTGTTAGAATGAAACTAATGTAATTTCTGCACAAGCTACTGAATTAGTGACAGAGCAGCTGAAACCTCTGGGTTTGCCTGAGGATTACTGTATCACTGTGATGCATTAGTGATGGATGAAGGGCCAAGTGCTGTGCTGAGTCCTGCCTCTGCCCAGCAGGAGTAGTGACCTACCGATAAATGGGAACAGCATGTTGGCCCATTTCAGCATAGGATGGAGTCGTGTCTATCTGACTGGTGACTGTTACAGAAATAAGTCCCTAGCCAGCAAACTGGGTACATAACTTCACTCACAGGTGCAAACCCTATGGGAGGATTCACCTGAATAAGGTTTTACACGCGTCTTTGCAGGATCAGGGGCCAATGAAATGAATCCCACAAGCCAAACTTAAGCATGTGCTCAGTCTGCACCACCTTGTCAGGGCTTGCAAGAGGTTAATGCTCCCAACAACAGACACTGAGGACACAGGCCCTTTATCTCCCTAAGAATTTTATGCAAATGATGTTGGAGAGTCATTTTCAAGATTAAATTAATTTATGTATAAGATGCCTCCAGGTCACTGATCACAGCACAGATTAGTGCAAAAGCCCAGGTTCTATTCACCCTATGGAATTGTTGCAGAGTGTGGGGGGAGTCAGGGCCCTGGCCCCCGACCCCTCCCTTCCTGAGATTCACCGTGACTCTCAGCCAGCCAGTAAAACAGATGGTTTATTAGAGGACAGGAACACAGTCCAAGACAGAGCTTGTAGGTACAGAAAACAGGATCCCTCAGTCAGGTCCAGGGGGGGGGGGGGGGCATGGGGAGGGGTGAGCTCAGACCCAGGTTCTGGGCCTCCCCCCCATTTCCCCAGCCAGCTCCAAACTGAAACTCCCTCCAGCAGCCTCACCCAGCCACACCCCCCGGCTCCTCCTTCAGCCTTTGTCCACCTGGCCCCAACTCCCTGGGCTCAGGTTATGCAGGGCAGCCACCATCCTTTACGTCAGGCCTGCACAACTCGTAAAGCGGCGAGGGCCATATTACTCCAAAGAAAACAGCTGAGGGCCGAACCCCCCCGGCCCCGCCAACCCCCCCCCCCCCCCACCCCCCCCCCGGAAACACCCCCCCCCGCGCTCCAGCGCTGCCGAAACACCCCCCCCAGCGCCGCCCGCCCCCCCGAAACAACCCCCCCCAGCGCCGCCCGCCCCGCGGAAACAAACCCTCCTTCCCTAGCGCCGCCCCACCAAAACAGCGGTATTGAACCTTGGTAATATGTTATAGCGGGCCCCTAAGATAGTATTGTCATAGAAATTTCTGTCTGTTCCAGCTGAGGAATAAGGAGAGATGGACACAGCTAGCCAAGCAAGGAGCCCCGGGAGGGGCGATCCGTTTATTTCAATTGCAATTGGGTTCGAGCTCATAAGTCAGCAAGAACAAAGAAAACACTTACACCAAAGCATTATATGCAGTTGCTTATGATAATCTATCGCTCTATGATTGGCCAAAATTTGCCATCATTACCATACATAATTAGCAAGCTACATGTAACTGCCCCTCTTATGACCCCTTATTGTTCATTTACTTGCCCCCCACCCTTGTTATTTTGCAAACTAAGTAGTTAGGTATCTGCAGGGCACAGGCACAGGGAGTTCCATTGTCTATAGGTTTGGAGTTTGGCTACATTTCCTCTCGAAGGAACTTCCTGAGTTAAGACAACCTATAGCTGACCCCGTGTGTACGGGACAAATTTGCCCCCTGGCCGTTAAGTAGAATAATTCTATATCAGTATAATTAAGGTAAAAGAAAACTGTCTTTTTGCTAGAAGTAGAATAAGATCTTCCCCACACTTTGTAATCAATTCCCCTTTGAATGAATGAGGTGTGAATGAGGAAGACGTGGAAGGCAAGCACCTCCAGACAGCTGCAACCCTTGGAGAGGGGATGGGAGCCAGACCAGATCAGTAGAACAGGTCAGCCACCGATTCACCACTCGCCTCCTCAGCTCCCCTCCCCCGCCGCCGGCTCACCTGCCCACTCGCCTCCTCAGCCGCCGGCTCACCTGCCCCGCCACCACTGCCCGCCCACTCGCCTCCTCCCCCCCCCCTCCCCCGCTGCTTGCCTACTCACCCCCTGCGGGCCACACAGTGAGCCCACGCGGGCCGCATGTTGTGCAGGCCTGCTTTACGTTCTGGCCGTTAGGCATCATCCCTCAGTGAAATCACACCCTTATTTCCCATCACCATCTAGTATCAATGCAGACAGTAAACGTAAAACTCCCATGCAACATTACCAGGTTAATACTCCCTACTCCGTCACAGGGATTTATTCACCTTCTGCATTTTGCTCGTCTCGGGCAGGTGGAACAAAACTCAGCAGTTGCATTTTCTAGCTCCCACTTGCATGAGCCAAGGTTCTTGTCTTTAGTTTTCCAACACTGCAAGGAAATTAAAAAACAAACAAACAAACAAAAAACTAAGGTGACAGCTGCTGTCCGATCTCGCAGTCCAACCCACATGGGAAGCACCAGCCCATCTGAGTTTGTATGGATCCGACTGCAGGATTGGGACCCTGGTTCCCATTAAAGCAACACTCTTGGTTTTAGGTTTTGGTAAAGTCTCCCATTTACAAAATGTACCCCGGGGAAACTCAGCATGGTCACAGCAGCCACTGAGTTCAGTGACAGCCCATCAGACCCTGGGCCAGGCCAGATGATAGGGGCCAGGAATGAGAGTCCAGATCTTCCCCAGCTAGGCTGCATGCATCTCCCCTTGTTACCAGTTCACCCCTATAACCACACTAACGTTGTCTCCCCACAGCTGCTGCCCCACAGGGAGTAGACAAGATAATTGGGGGATACGAGTGCAGCCCCCATTCACAGCCCTGGCAGGTTTCCCTGAACACTGGGTACCATTTCTGTGGTGGATCCCTCATCGCGGACCAGTGGGTGGTGTCAGCTGCCCACTGCTGGTACTAGTAAGTGAGGAACTCACCGTCTCTGTGTGCTTGTCACTGTTGTTATCGCAGTCCCAGAAGGGTGGGAGCAGGCTGGGGCTAGGGAGCTTGTGGGGGATGTCCAGAGGGGCTCTGAGCCACCATTTGTTTCCCAGCCCCGACTCCATGCTGGTGATCCTGGGAGACCACAACATCCAGGTCTTTGAACACACCGAGCACCTGATGCGCATCGAGACCACTGTGTTGCACCCCAGCTATGACGAGCAGACACTGGACCACGACATCATGCTCATCAAGCTGGCCCACCGCATCCAGCCGGATGCCTACGTGCGACCCGTTCCCCTGCCGACTGCCTGCCCAGAGGTTGGGTCTCTCTGCATGGTGTCAGGATGGGGTAACATCCTCAGCGATGGCTGTGAGTTCCCTCTGTCTCAGGAGTCCCAGGCTATTCAGCACATCACACTCAGCTGTCTAATAATTATATGCGGATGACACAGCCCACACTGTGCAGATGTTCAGGAGGGGACAGTCCCTGTCCTGCCCAAAGACCCACAGTCCAAGCACAGACACAGCTGGGCAGAGGCTAGGGATAGGGACAGCAAACAGGGATTTTATACAAGCCTGACTCCCAGGTCCCCCCTGCTCTAGCCCTTTAGGAGCACATTCCCCTCCCAGAACTGGGACAGAATCTAAAGTGCTTCACTCAGAGCGTGCTGCCACCGTGTGCAACATTCAGGATAGTAAAAAGAACAGGAGTACTTGTGGCACCTTAGAGACTAACAAATTTATTGTAACATAAGCTTTCGTGGGCTAAACCCACTTCGTCGGATGCATGTAGTGGAAAATACAGAAGGAATATATCATACATACATACATACATACATACATATATACATATATACACACACACACACACACACACACAGGGAACATGAAACAATGGGTGTTACCATACACACTATAAGGAGAGTGATCAGTTAAGGTGAGCTGTTGTCAGCAGGAGAGGAAAAAAACCAAAACTGTTTGTAGTGGTAATGAAAGTGGCCCATTTCCAGCATTTGACAAGGAGATACAAGGAACTGGGGGTGGGTGGAGATAAGCATGGGGAAATAGTTTTACTTTGTGTAATGGCCCATCCACTCCCAAAGTAAAACTATTTCCCCATGCTTATCTTCCCCACGCCCCCCTACAGTTCCTTATATCTCCTTGTCAAGTGCTGGAAATGGGCCATTTTCATTACCACTACAAACAGTTCCCCCCGCCCCCTCCTGCTGACAACAGCTCACCTTAACTGATCACTCTCCTTATAATGTGTATGGTAACACCCATTGTTTCATGTTCCCTGTGTGTGTGTGTGTGTGTGTGTGTGTGTATATATATATATATATCTTCCTTCTGTATTTTCCACTACGTGCATCTGATGAAGTGAGCTGTAGCCCACGAAAGCTTATGCTACAATAAATGTGTCTCTAAGGTGCCACAAGTACTCCTGTTCTTTTTGAGAATACAGACTAACACGGCTACTACTCTGAAACCATTCAGGATAGTGATATAACTCAATGACTTACCGTCACTCCCCCTGAAGGAATATACCAGCGTGGTGTGGGAAGGAGGAGAATCCCTGGTAAGACCAATTCTTCTCTGCCTTTTAGTGCTAAGCGCCAAGAACCTGCAGTGTGTCGAAGTTCCCATTGTGAGCGACCAGGTGTGTGAGCGCTCCTACCCCGGGATGATCACCAGCACCATGATGTGCGCTGGGTACCCGGAAGGAGGCAAGGATGCATGCCAGGTGAAGGCTAACAGTCATGGTCCTGTCTGGGTCTTACAGCGACTCTAGCCCTTCTGCTAACACACCAGAGGTCAGGAGGGATCTGTCAATGCAGGCCCTGGGTGATGCATGCAGTATAAGGGACTGGAGGGATTCAGTGACTTTAACAGGCCATTAATTTGGTGGTATTGCTTTCCCTCCACTCACACACAGGGAGATGCTGGTGGACCTTTGGTCTGCAACGGGGAGTTGCAGGGCATCATGTCCTGGGGATTTGGCTGGGCCCAAAAGGATCACCCTAGCATCTACACCAAGATCTGCTCTCTGCTGTCCTGGATCAAGAGCACCATGGCCGCTAACTAGCTCAGACAGAACAACACTTTCCACTTGGGAACATGGACTCTCCTCACTCTGCTGGGCCCAGCTGAAGGGAAGGTTATAGTGGTCACTGGGAATCACCTAGGACCTGGGCACAAAACAGAACACATATTCCATACACATGGTGAGACCGTCTCAGTGCTGGGAGGTGCAATACCACTGTAAGATGGTAAGAGGTGCAAGAGATGGCAATAAATCCAGCTGTCACCACATTATTCTTGTCTGTGTCGTGCTCTGCGTCATAGCAACTAGCCATTTTTAGGTTTTATGGCCAGAAGAGACCTAGTCCGATCCCTGGAACAGCATAAGCCAGACAATCTCTCCCAGCGACGCCTGCACTATAGGGAAATGTTCTGCCCTCTTTGTGCCCCTTTTTTATTCAGTGCTTTTCAAACAATCCCCGAACCTGCAGTCAGATCCGACCGCACACAGGGTCACCAGGGCCTGACCACACAGATCCTGCTGCACACTCAGTGCCACGCAGTCACATCAGTAACTCATTCAGCGCCACATGTTTGCACCTTCTGTATTAAAGGGCACTGGTTTAAAAGGGTGCTGGGTGCTAGGCACCGACCCCACCCCCAGACACTGCACACATTTACCCTGAGAGTTAAGTTTCAGAGTGGTAGCCGCGTTAGTCTGTATCAGCAAAAACAATGAGGAGTCCTTGTGGCACCTTCGAGACTAACAAATTTATTTGGGCATAAGTTAAGTTCCTCTCCGGCAGCCAACATCTGAGTATTAAGGCTTTCAAGACAGATTGTGGAAACACTGGAATGGCCCATAGTGGGGTGGGGGTGCCTCTGTGCAGCGCAGGACAATACTATTTTGGGTTTACACTCCAGAGGGGGTGTGCACTTGAGTACTGGGCAATCCCCGAGCGGAGTCTTCCCAGGCAGAACTGATCTCAGTGTCTGTGTCTTTCTGTAGCTGGGCATGTCCCTACCTGTGTGTGCTGGAGGAGGCTTGAGGGCCTGGCTCAGCAGGACAGGGTGAGGGAGCCCAGGCTAGTGGAACAGGCGGGCTCAGTTGTACCCCAGTATATCAGGTGGTACCCCAGAAGGTGGGAGGCTACCCATCACAACAACAACATAAGAATGGCCATAATGGGTGCGACCGTGCCTCAGTGGGTCACAGCTGAGGATGCCAAATTCAGGATGGACTGCTGAGAAATAGGGCAGATACACCCCAAGACAGGTGGCTATTCCCCCCATAGGATATACCAAACCAGCAACAAAAGTAAACTTCTGTTTCACCATACTGGCTAATAACAAGTCATAAAAGCAGTTTCCTTGGGCATCCCAGTCCTTGTATTACCACTGAAAACACTAGATTTAAAGGTGAGTGGTTCTTTACAACCAGACTCATTAAATAAAGCAGGGATCGGCAACCTTTCAGAAGTGGTGTGCCGAATCTTCATTTATTCACTCTAAATTAAGGTTTCACGTGCCAGTAATACATTTTAATGTTTGTAGAAGGTCTCTTTCTATAAGTCTATAATATATAACTAAACTATTGTTGTATGTAAAGTAAATAAGGTTTTTAAAATGTTTAAGAAGCTTTATTTAAAATTAAATTAAAATGCAGAGCCCCCCGGACCGGTGGCCAGGACCCGGGCAGTGTGAGTGCCACTGAAAATCAGCTCATGTGCTGCCTTCGGCACGCGTGTCATAGGTTGCCTACCCCTGAAATAAAGGTTCCTCTGATCCCAAAGGACCAGTCACACACACAGGTCAATATATAACTTAGCTCTTACCCCAAAATCACACTGATGCCAATCCTTTAGTATCTAAAATCTAAAGGTTCATTCATAAAATGAAAGAAAGAAAGGTGAGAGTAAAAATTGGTTAAAGGAATCAACTACATACAGTAATTGCGAAGTTCTTGGTTCAGGCTTGTAGCAGTGATGAAATAAACTGCTGGCTTAAGTCAAGTCTCTGGCTGTTTCCAAATCATTGGAAAGTCCTCCGTCCATTGGTTAGAATGCTCCTATTAGTATAAGTTCATAGTCCAGAGGCTGGAGCAGGATAGAGGCAAAATGGAGTGGTTTCCAGGGCCATTTATATCCTCTGCCATGTGGAGGGAAACCTATTGTTTGAAACAAAAACCTCAGCATTGCTAGTAGAGAATCACAGGTGACCAGATAGTGTTTTGAATCACGTGGACAAGTCACATGTTCATGCCCAGTTTTGCTCAGTCATTGCAGGAAGCCATTACCTATACTCCAGACAGCATGTTTACAGGCCAGCCTGCAGTGGGGCAGCTACCCGGTCCTAGAGAAAAGGCCAGGCTGATTGGGGAAGCAGCCTCAGCTGGGGCCATGTTCCAATCAGGCCACACCTGGCCCTGTTATAAGGGCTCAGGGAGGAGCTGGGTCACACAGTCTTTCTTTTGCTCTGGAGAGAGAAGGACCTGTTACCTGGGAGCTCAGGATACAGGGACTGGAGCAGGTCTGGGGAAAGGCAGGAGGCACCGTGGAGCTCCAGCCTGGTAAATCCCTGGGTTGTGGGCCTTGCTAAAGGCCAAAGCTGGCACAGGGGTTGCAGAGGTGCAGCCCAGGCTGAGGCAGAGGCAGCTGGTCTGACCCCCTTGCCCATGATGAGTGGCCTTTACAGACTGTCGTCTGCCCCAGGGAGTGGGGGTTGGATGATGACTGGCAGTAGCCACTGAGACAAGGTGGGTTTAGAGGGTTGGGGGTTCCCCTGGGAGGGGAGACCCAGGGTGTGGGGGTACTGCTGGGGCAGAGCCCTGAGGAAAAGGGTACTGGGTCTGGGAGGGATATGGGGCTTGAAGCAGGTGAGACATTGGCCTCCAGAGGGCGCTCTGGGGCTGGAAAAGAGCTAATTCCCTGGATGACCAGCAGGAGGCACTGCACCGGTGAGTCTTCGCTTTGCTACACAGCCACTCCGTGTCGATGGGCATCTCCCATGGTCCATTATGAGTTAAGGGCCCTTTTGATGGGCCACTCAATTTGAATAGTCCCTCAAAGATGTGCTGGCTAACTACCTTGTTAGTTACCCCAGGAGCAAACATTTGAAATACAGGTATAGAGCAAATACTCATAACTTCAAATACAAAAAGATACATGTATACAGATAGCATAATCCTAACCTTTTCCTAGACATCTTACATGCCCCATTGTCTACAAGATTTGTTGAAAATATATAATAGTGGTTACAATATAGAATAATGGTTACAACAATATCTACATAGTCATGACCATAATGGGTCAGACCAATGGTCCATCTGGCCCAGTATCCTGTCTTCTGACAGTGGCCAGTGCCAGGTGCTTCAGAGGGAACAAACAGAACAGGCAATCAAGTGATCCATCCCATGTCGTTCAATCCCAGCTTCCGGCAATCAAAGGCTAGGGACACCCAGAGCAGGGAGTTGCATCCCTGACCATCTCTGTTAATAGCCATTGATGGACCTATCCTCCAGGAGCTTATCTAATTCTTTTGGCCTGCACAACATCATCTGGCAACAAGTTCCACTGGTTGACTGTGCATTGTGTGAAGAAGTACTTCCTTTTGCTTGTTTTAAACTTGCTGCCTATTAATTTCATTGAGTGACTCCTGTTTCTTGTGTTATGTGAAGTAAACAACACCTCCTTATTTGCTTTCTCCACACCATTTATCTATCATATTCCCCCATGAGTCATCTCTTTTCCAAGCTGAAAAGTCCCTGTCTTTTTAATCTCTCATATGGAACCTGTTCCACACCTTTTCTCAATTTTGTTGCCCTTCTCTGTATCTCTTCCAATTCTAATCTTTTTTTGAGATGGGGTGACCAGAACTGCATGGAGTATTCAAGGTGTGGGCATATCATGGATTTAAATAGTGGCATTAGGACATTTTATATCTTCTTATCTATCCCAGAGATCGGCAACCTTTGGCACACGGCCTGTCAGGGAAATCCTCTGGCAGGCCGGGATGGCTTTTCTACCTACAGTGTTCACAGGTTCGGCCGATGGCGGCTCCCACTGGCCATGGTTCACCATTCCAGGCCAATGGGGGCTGCAGGAAGGGGCAGCCAGCACATCCCTTGTCCTGCGCTGCTTCCCGCAGCCCCCATTGGCCTGAAACGGTGAACTGCGGACAGTGGGAGCTGCGATTGGCCGAACCTGCGGACACGGCAGGTAAACAAACCATCCCGGCTTGCCAGTGGATTTCCCTGACAGGCCGTGTGCCAAAAGTTGCCGATCCCTGATCTATCCCTTTCCTAATGGTTCCTAACATTCTGTTAACCTTTTCAGATGCTGCTGCACACTGAGTGGATATTTTCTGAGAACTATCCACAATGACTCCAAGATCTTTGAGTGGTAACAGCTAATTTAGACTCCATCATTTTGTATGTATAGTTGGGATTATGTTTTCCAACGTGCATTACTTTGCATTTATCAAAAGTGCAAACAACAAGATCAGGACAACCAAATCTCCGCTACCTCGTTGACTCAGGGCCAGCTCTAGGGCTGGATTTAGGGGCCGATGACCCAGGCAACCACCTTGGTTACTGGGCTTGGGGGGGGGGGGGGGATGTTGGGTTCAGGGTGCTGTTTTTGATGTTGGCAACAAAAGGGGGAAATGACAAGGATAAATAATGCATGCAAATTGTGCATCATAGTTGTGAAAGGAGTTACAAATGCAATAAAAAAATAAAGTATTCAAAAGTTTAACAAATGGGGGAGGGGCACCGAAAACACTTCATGCCTAGGGCACTGTTTGGGCTAGGGCTGGCTCTGCCCATTTCTAAAATTGGGGAGACTCATTACTGAGCACAGGGGCAATCACACACACCCTGCGTGGGGCAAGCATGGCCCAACCACCCTCTGAAAACACAGAACTCCCAGACTTTCCCTCCCATTTGTGTGAGTGTGCGAGAGAGAGGTTCCTGATACCAAACCACAAGTTCTCGCATGTCTGGGAATTCCCAGCCATTACACTCGGCAACCTTTATAGAGTCAATCCCAAAAGGGAGTAATTCCC